CGGCTCTCAGTCTACTTTTCAGAGGCAACAAAAAGTAAACTAATATGTCTTGGATGTTGGTAAGTTGCAGCCACTCTCTGCGTAGTGAGTGTGCCATTCGTGCAATTGGGCTTACATCTGCTCTGCAATGGCAACGACAATCGACTGACGCTGGCACGGTTAGACAGAGGCACGCGGGATTCACAGCGATGGCGGAGCTGTAGAATGTAGGCGGGATCGGAAATGAATACATTCGGGGCCGTCGTTCAGAAGGATCCTGTGAGTTGTCTTCGAGATATACTACTTTGTAATGCAGCCTGCCGCTGCGACGTACCCGCGACAGAGTTATCGTGCGCATCGAGTCAGGACTGGAGTTTGTCGTGCGCGAGAGAGCCTGAGGACGGCACGGTCAGTGGCGGAACGGTCGCAAGTCGACGCGCGCGTTGGCTTGATCGACTTTGTGCGCCACAGCATGCTCTCGCCCTTGCGCGCACTTTGCACTGAGACTACATGCTCTACTCAGCAACGCCCTCCAGGCACTAGCATCCCTGTGACCTCAGGCCCTGTTTCTGCGAGCGCGAGGATCCATTGAAGCCTCACTGGATTCGCGACGACAATGCTCTACCCTACTCGCCAACTTTCTATGCTTTGTCTCCACCTTTGGGCATACTCTCTCCCCTTGTGTGACCTCTGAGTGCAGTCGGACGCAATTAGGGGATGGTGGAATGAGGTAGAAGGGACGGAGAAGCGGAGGGCGCGGCGGTGCGATAGAGTGGACGGTATCGTATAACATACCTCGACTTACAATCAATGTGGTGCTCGAAATGAGACCTGTAGCTGCACTATGAACCCTTGCCGGTGTCTGCTACGGCTGATCGTCTTTGACCGTGTTTAATCTTGAGTAAACTGCGCTCGAAGACAATGGGATACTGATTCAGATGCACCGAGTATAGCGGGCGCACATGCCTCGATTACGCGCCCATGAAGATTCAGAGCAACGTTTATTATATGTAAGTCTGCTATAGAACGGAGTACAATGCGCGTCGGGAATCGACGCAGGGCGAGTATAGCGGGTCGGGCCAGTCGAGAGCACCGCGTCCGAGTGCTTTCCGTCCGAATGAATGCCTTGCGTCATTCGGACTGTGATCATTCGGACGCTTCGTCCAGAGTCCGCTCGCTATGCTACGTTTCTGCTTCAAGGCGTCTTCCGGATTATCTCGCAGTCGCGAATATTGGCGCGAATACTTTCGGATAGCTTGTCAAATGAAATGACGGGGCCCCGGCGGAATGGATAGGCATACGGCACTGGTAAGTGCTTCTCCGCGTCTGTCGCTTACCGCCGCCAGGGTCATAGATGAACTCGCAGCAGCGCCGGGCGAAAAGATACGTTGCGACGGATGGAAGATTGCGGGTGGACACTCCACCGGCTGAAATCTCGATTTCGACCGGTTGGCGTCCGTTCCGTCGTTCTCTGACCGGTGAGCATCACTGCGTCTGTTTCCGTCAGTCCACCCGTAAGTCCTGCGCTTTCAAGTAAATATTCACTAATTTCTGCTACTGTCTGTCGCAGGGGGTGCTGCCACCCTCCACCGGCGCATTCTCTAGGCGATGACCGTGTCACGGTCCTCGGGTGGTTTACGTTTGCGCCACATTACGACGCGAAGTTCTCCGGCGGTGAGAAGCGACACTCGATCGTTGACTCCCTTCTTCTCTCGAGGAAAGCGGGTCAACGATCGACTGCCGTGATGTCAACTAGGCGATATGACCTGCGCAATTCATGGTTCTCCGGGGCTGCCTGCTCGCAGCATCTCCGTAGCATTGTGTTATGCGGGTGGCTTCGAGTGGGCTGACCTACTGGTGAGGCAGAATCGCGAGGAGGCCGGAAACACAAATGGTATGGCAATTGGATTGCGAGGTCGTACGGCAGTGCGCGCGGCCGTCCGAATCGTGAAACGATTCCGAGAGAGACGCAGCAGCGCCGGCGCGGCGGGCGAAGCGACGCCAGTCGCTTGCACATCATCGCGACAGGGTCGACCTTTGACGCTAGCGCAGCGTATTTGCGGAATAAAATAATAGACCGTCTACAGTTATCATGCAATAACCGCAGTTTCTAGCTGCATAAAGGCTGGGTGGTGTGAGCAGAGGACGACATCACAATCCCGGCTCCCTTTCCTTCAGTCGCCTTCCTACTTTCAGGCCTTTAGGTCTCGATGCTATCTCTGGCGTTGTCGAGCCCCTCAGAGGGCTGACTACAACGTCGTCAATATGGTACGTAGGACTGGGTTGGTCGACGAGCCAGAACATGCTTATTGGGGTCATACAGCTCGCTAGTGACACTACCTAACGAACATAGTGAGTCTTTACTTGTTCGCGCTGTGGCGGCTACTGGCACGACACTGATGAGACCGATAGGCGCAGCAGTGATCCTCAGCAGTCAGTATCGTGCTGCGCTAGTCGCGCACAAGGTAAGTCCGAACGCCAAAATCCTTGTATACGAGACTAACGATGATCTGTCAGCCTCCTTTTATTGTCGATTCCGTGATCGTCCCGCAAGACTGGCATACCTTGATCAAGCTAGTCGCTGGTGTAGTACTCGCCTCGCGATGGGGTTACTACCCTCAGCTCAAATAGCAGCCCGTTGTATGGCAAACTGCCGTCCACGGTCCCGTCATGATCCCGCAAGAAGTGGATTCGTGTGTAACCCTGTAGTTACTAGTAATTTGTAGTGCACGGGGTAGATAACTATCCACAATAGCCGCGCGCTATATTGTGGACTGCCGTCAACGGTGCTGTAAGTCTGCGGTTAAACCTTTGACAATTATTCTTACTCTGTTGCCATTTCTTCTAGCGGTCAGAATGCTCTGTAACAATCAAGACTAGCAAGGATCGGTAGGTAGTCTTTTGTCACCTCGGAGCTAGGCAGTCGTGCTGACTACATAGCATTTGAATAGTAACTGTCACGTCCAAAGAGCAAGAACCTTCCATTATGACCGTAACTACTGTACTTGTCGTAGACTACT